AGTGCAAAATAGATGTATTTTATCTCTATATATTAAAAACGATTTAACAAACGGTTTAATTAATGAAAACATATTTTGTATGGTATTATATAATTAAATTAATTGTTATTGTGTTGATGTAGGGGCTTTTCTCCTCACAATTCACTTGGCAGTCTAAAATTTTAGCATCTCTATGTTTGGAAATGAATATGCGTTGTCGGCGTAGTAATGTCGCACTACTACCAATATCCCCTTAAATATTTACGTTTAATATTTTATTGAAGAATATTTATAACTTTTTTTTCATTATAGATAATCAACTACTCGATGAGGATGATAACAAGTACTATTTGTACATTTATAGTGTAATTGGTGCATTTAATTCAGTAGCTACGTTTTTCCGAGCGTTTCTTTTCGCATATGGCGGAATTAAGGCCTGTACGAAAATACATGATTGTTTATTAACATCTACTATAAGAGTAAGTTGGAAATTAATTTTTTTCTTCTGACTATAGTTACTTCATTTTTTTTTCAGGCAAAGATTTCGTTTTTTGATATTAATTCTCTTGGTAGAATATTGAATAGATTTTCTTCGGACATTAACACAATTGATGATGAACTACCATTTATTTTGAATATTTTACTAGCTCAATTATTTCTTACGATTGGTTCAATATGTTCTATATTAATTGGTGTTCCTTGGGCTATAATAATTATTATAATATTAGCTCCTGTTTATTATAAACTACAAAAACGATATAGAATTTCATCTCGAGAGCTTCGAAGAATTTCATCGGTTGCGTTATCTCCATTGTATAATCATATTAATGAGTCATTACAAGGTTTGGCTACTGTTCGAGCATTTAGAGTAGTTTCGAGGTGTGTAAGAATATATTTTTTATTTGAGTACTCATACTACATGATTGTTCAATAATTTATATAGATTTGAACGTGAAAATGAAGATAAACTTGAAAGTTATTTAAAAGCTGAATTTTCTGCACAGCTTGCTGCATTATGGTTTAACTTTAGACTACGAATGATTGGACTAACAGTGGTATTGTTTATTGGTTTTATTGCTGTATTTGTTCACCAATGGAATCTTACAAATCCTGGTTTGTTATATCAAATGAGTATATTGTTTGAAGTTTTATCAATATAATTTTAAGCATTGGTGTAGCTAGATATCTTTAGGAGTAGGAACATTATTTTTGTAAATAGTAGGGATTTACTAAAGTCACACAAGGTAGTCAGCTAATTCTAAAATAAAAAAGCGAAGGAAACAAAAATAGGTGACAGTTTAATTAAATTTAAATATAATAATTTAATTATAAATATTTAAATATAATCTAAGATTATCAGCTATTTTTATATAATAGCAATATATTTAAATTTACAATATATTAAAAATTTGAGGGAGCTGTGCCCTCTTATGGCTATGCTGCTGATTTAAAGTTAGCTTTATTTGGAAAATTTTAAATATTAAGTGGTAGCAAAATTAAATTGTGTGAATTAAGACAAACAAAAAAGAATCAAAATAAGTAAATCATTTACTAGTTTATAAATATATAATTTTATTTTATTTTGAAAATTGAGATGAATTTATATTTCACTATTATTTTTAAAAAGGTAATGAATAAAAAAAAATATTTATTAAGTAGCTTTTATTATAATATATTTGATTTTCTTTAATTTAAAGGTCTTGTTGGATTAGCATTAACATATGCATTAACATTAACCAGTGTACTAGGAGGATTAGTTGGAGCTATAGCCTCTACGGAGTGTAATATGGTTAGCTTAGAACGTGTCTTTGATTATGTTAATAATACTGAAAGTGAAATTGATACTGAAAATTCTATGCCACCACCATTTGCTTGGCCCACGAGTGGTATTGTACAGTTTTCAAACGTTTTTTTACAGTATAGGTGAACTTTTTATTTTAAATAGTTAAAAGCACATGGAACAAAATAATTTATTTTCATTCTTTAGATTTGATGGACCTATGTCACTTAATGGCGTATCATTTGAAACATATGCTTCAGAAAAAATTGGAGTTATTGGTAGAACAGGAGCAGGGAAAAGTTCACTATTTGCTGCTCTTTTTAAAATGATTGAAATTCAAAGTGGTCATATTTTCATAGATGCAGTAGATTTATCTAAAATTTCTTCCAGACAAATAAGGTGCCATTACAAAACTATTTCATAAAAATTCCATTTTATTATACATTAGATTATAATTTTATAGGAATCGATTGTGTATAATTCCTCAAGATCCATTTTTATTTGAAGGAACTATTCGCGAAAATATAGATCCATTTAAAGAATATATGGATTCTAATATATGGTCAGCACTACAACGATGCCATCTAGTGTCTACTATTAAACGTATGGGTGGGCTTAGTTGTAAACTTGGAGAAAATAATAGTTTGTCTGTGGGCGAAAAACAATTATTGTGTATGGTTAGAGCTGTGTTGAAAAATGCAAAAGTAATATGTGTTGATGAGGCAACAGCTAATGTTGATAAAATAACTGACCAAAAAATACAAGAAACCATTAGAACTGCATTTAAACAAAGTACAGTTATAACTATAGCTCATAGAATACGAACAGTTATGGATAGTGATAGGTATACCAAATTAATAATTCTACTTTTAAGCCTTATAGTTTAACTCTTACAATTTCAATTTTTTAAAATTTTTAACGAGATTAAATTATTTTTGAAATGCTTATTTTATGTGCATAAACAAATTATCTTACATTATATAAAAAAAATATGATAGTTGACTTTTGATGTACAGATTTATTAGAATGTTTTTCATTGTACAAAATTATTTCAGGATATTGGTGATGGATAATGGAAAAGTTTTGGAATTTGATTCTCCAAATATTTTATTACAAGATAAAAAATCTTATTTTCATAATTTAGTTCAAAAAGAATTTAATAATAGTTCATGATCTCGTAAAAGTCTAGAATGAATAACTAAGGTTCAATAAATGTAATCATAAGCATTTTAACTCTTGACTTAACTGATCTTAAAGTTTTCTCTTGCTCTAATTTATTTAAAACTTGTATTTATATCATTTAATTTTTAAGTATTAATATAATTGTTCCCAAAATATATCAAATATCTGTTTTATGTTTAAATTGTCGACTGTTAATTGTATTAATACTTTATAGTTTCTATTTTTAATATTATTTATTCTACGCTTAAGTTAAAAAGGTTGATTTATATATTAGACTTTTGTGATATTATTGTAAATGTATATGTATTTTAATAAATATTTATTTTTATTATTTATGAATCTTATAAAATAATAAACTAAAAAAATTAGGCAATGCTGAAAAAATTACTTAACAATGTCCAATATTTTTTAATGAAAAATCTAGACGACGTTATTTCAGGAAAATTATTTGTGAATATGAGAAAATTATTTTTAGCATCCCTGAGCGTTTAAAATTTTTATGAAAAACGTTTGTTGCCGCTATCGTTTTTTGATTTAAAACCTGAAATTTTTACCTGACATTCCAAAAGTAGCCTTTAAATTTCGTTAGTATCTGTTGATTTTTGACTGAATTATAAGCTTTTTTTTTCTCAGCACTCCAGACAACGTCATATAATTAGCAAGTTATTATTGAGTATAATTTTGATTTATACATTAAACTTTTGTGATATTTATTGTAAATGTGTATGTATTTTGATAAATATTTATTTTTATTATTTATGAATCTTATAAAACTATAAAAAAAAACTCAGCACAGTGGTGACGTGGCATAGTTGGGTCTAGTATAGATTTAATCTGACAGTGATTACAATCACTATCATAAGAAACGCTTCGATGCAAATCTGTAGATAATGTTTAATTCTCAGGAATTCATGGATAATTACAAAGGCAACATCAACTATTTCCTTAATTATATCCAGATTAGTAATTCTTAGATTCAAAAATATAATATAATATTATATATTATATAATTGCTATATTGAATTGTTTTCAAATTATTATTGATATTGATTTTAAATATGTTAAAAGTAATAATTTTTAACCTTCTTTATTTTATCCTTTAAAATGAAAGTTTATAATAAAAAAAAAAAAAAATGAATTTTGTCGTAATATGCCTAATGCTTTGCATTGCGCATCTTACATTTATCAATGAAAAATGTATAATCTGTATTTTATATTACTTGTATACAAACAAATAATTAATTTATCTGTTATAATATATACACTGTTGTACACTAGCTATTATATATGTTAAATTGATTATTGTACACTATACATCTTATCTTAAAATAACTATCATGTTATGTTCAATTTAATACAATAAATTGAGAATCACTAAAAGCGCTGATGATAACATCCCATGAAGGGGGTAATTAAAAATAATATAAAAAGGCTTTGTTCTGCTTCCACATCAGTGAGCGAGCGGCTCATTATCTTTCCTTTTTGAAGATCTGAATTCAATAAGGAATTCAGAATTCTTCTATCTGATTTATTTTGAGCAAACTAGCCGCGACCCAGTGTTGTCGTTGGAACATTTTAAAGCGATTTCAAGTATAATTATTTTTGCGTTAATACTTTATTTATTTATTAAAAAGGAACAGTATAAATCTAAACGTAAGATATATAAAAGAAGTAAGTAAATTTATATTAACCCAATTATTTAGAATTAATAACCTGAGTAAAGAATGGTAAAGCAATAGATTTTTTAAACATCATTTAATTTAATTATTAATAACTAGTTAATGGTTGGTCATATACTTCAACTGGGTGTCTGAGAGGAGGCCTCAGCCACTCCATGAACGCCTCAGTATTTCCACTAAACCACATCCCAGTTAACATCACGCTTCAACTGGGTGTCTGATAGGAGGCCAAGACCCCGGCCACTATAAGAATATCTCATTCTACTAATGCAGAAATAATTGAAATCAGAGCATTTTTCAAAAATTGTGTAAACAGAGTGATCCAAATGAAAAATATAAAAATATAGAGTGATTCAAATAACAAAAAAAAAAAAAAATTG